GATCATGATAAAGTAACCGTTCTTCTTGGCTTGCTCGTTCTGGCGAAGAAGACTTAGAATGATGTCAACCATTTCGGGAAGACTGGGATTTCGAGCCGTAGAATTGCTTGATGAAAGTTCACGAAGTCGATCAACCTCGTACATCATATGGTCGTCTTGGAATAGACCAAACAGGCGAAGAGCACCCGTGGCAGCGTTGGCCGACTGATAATCGAGTAAATCTTGGTAATTGTACGAAAGTGAATATCCGTTCGACCTCAATTCCTCTAACATTGAATCGTTAAAGTATCTTTTACCACCACCGAGCAAGAAATCCAAGTTTTTGTTTGCAACATACTGGGCTGCAATGTCGGCCTCAGAATCCCGATCAAGAACGTGAGCCGCGAACGAAGCTGGTGTTGCATGCGTCACACGGCAGGTCACGATCATACCAGTTACCATGCCTCGAGTCTTGGCGGCTTCCAAGATTGTGCCTAGAGGTTGCTCAAAAGTATCCACAGCGATTGCCTGGTCGTATGTTTTATATCCCGTCGAGTAAGCTGTTGCTGACGAAGCTGAATCCGTGATGTAGCTTGTTGACGAGTGGGTTTGCACTGTCCCCATAAGGTGGGGGTCAATATGGAGGCGTGTTTTCAACGTCGGATCTAACACTGTTCGGGCGAGTGTGAAGACGTTGGGGCCAGTTCCGTCAGGAATCATCATAATGACACTGCGTGGCGTGTCCTCACTTTCGCCGATTTTAAAATCTTCGACATCGATTGTTGCATACTCGTAGCGGGTAGCGGCCCTTGTCAGTGTAATAATGGCGGCACTTGCGACCAACGCTCGAATCGGCATCTTCTTCAGATTGGATTGCCTCAAGTACACGGGATCAGGTAAAATGCAGAATAGTGTAGGGATGGTAGGCAAGCAATCAACAAACTTTCTCCTGCATCTCAGTTGTCACTTTGAAATGGAAAGACTTAAAGATAAGGGGTACTTCAAATAAATTCTCGTATCTGTAGACAGATGTTGTGGATATAAAAGTGCTCCAAACTCGTCTATGCCGAGACTTTCTGCATGAAACCTTGTGAAAGTGTGCGGACGTTTCAATTCCAACGGATCATTTTTTCGGTTGGAAAGAGCAGCTGTTTCAATGACGTATGTAATTATGCCGGCTAAATACTGGGTATTGCATAGCTCATTAATTGTATAAAAGAATGATCGATAACTTGTGCTTGCGTTTCTCTCTAGATTCCTTTCGGTAATCTGAACGACGCAACTTAGAAAATACTTTCATCATAGTCTTCTACTGAGGATGCTGGACATGCTGGCCAGAACGATATGTATGTCTTACGTGATATTTCGTCTTTCTAATGCTTTGATGATCGTATCCTGCGACGTGATAACTTTCACACAATAGTTGATGCTATTCATATTGTGGGTAAATCATGGTTTAGGATAAATTTTGTGCTTTGTGGGTTGTGGGTATCAATAGAATAGCGAGTCACTGGTTACGAGACCTTGGAATAAATATACGCTGGACTTGCGCTACACAGTCTAAAGCTTTTGTGATAAAATGATTTGACAGATGTCAAAAGTAAGACCAGATTTGTGGTGTGAAATCTTCTCTGATAGTAAAGCATACTTCAAATTATTTTGTGGCTCCTTATTTCTATCTTTGGTCTTGTATAGAATTCAACATATGTCTGCACAAAATGATATGCAGCAAACCAACAGTGATCACATGCGAGGTCATTCGAGATTTCCTACAGCTTCGCAGCCTTAATAAAATATGCCCAAAGATTGGTCTTGTCTGAGAGGATAGGTTACATCGATGTTAGAGATTATGTACCTTTAACCTCAATAGACATCCTGGATCTATCAAATGAAGAAGAAGCCTATTCGCCGCCAAGTCAAGGTGGCGCTGAAATTATTTAATGTGCGACTACACACTTGCGACATAGTCGATGCAGATCAGAAAGGAAGAGAAGAGCTGATGATTGCTTTTGAGGCTGTCAGCCGTGCGTCTTTGCACCACTGGGTGTATCTTCACCGCTGTACGTTTAAAAAGTGCTTTGTCGTTAACCTTTCTCAAGCACTTCCAAACTTTTTACTTTGGAATCACCGCAAGTCTTGCATTGTCACGTCTGAGTCTACAGCAATTTCATCGCTTTGTTACAAACATTTTTTGCGCGATGTGGCATCTAAGAGCTAGTTGGTGGTTATTAACGGGCTGAAAAGATGTACCAATGTATGAGTAGTCTGTTAGAAGTCCTTGCTACGTTGTAATAATTATTCTTTTCTCTAGAGCTCTAAGACATTTAAAATGATAGCGCGGTTAGAGAAGCTGCTGGATATGATGACAGGCAGAAAGCTCATTGCATCCTCAACATTTACAGCTTAGAGAGCTGGGGTACCAAGAATTTAAGATCTAAACACAAAGACTGGGAATAGTAGTATCACATTCAAGTACAGTATCAATTTCTTTTTCATGTATCACGAGAGGATACCATATCCACCAACCTATAAGTAGTAAATGCAAGGTCATACTTAAACTGTTATTGACTGATTTGTGCCACAATCAAAGCTTGCGCCTTGAGTAATCAGCTGGTATTTCTTTTGTTGTTGTGATTATGTAGTAACGAATATAGCATGAAACACAAGATTTTTTTTAACTATTCGTGTTTTCGAGAGCCCAAAAGCTGCAGACTCACGTCAACGCCTACGTGCTCGTCATCAGACTGATTATGACCTGGTTGCATAACAAGTGAAGAGCGAAAAAGTCTCCCAAGGTGGATTTGTTCAAGACGGTGGTGCACCAAAGAGCGCTAGTACGTATGCTACCGTCCCAATGTAGTTTTGAATTAATACGAAATTGACGAAGCAAGCTGTGTTGATCTTCAATGTCATCATTTTGGGTCAGCCCAATGCGAAAAGAAGTATTAAATTGGACGTGCCGACCAAAACTCATCATTAATTTGAGCGGTTATCAAATCAAGATAGGAAAACGCTAAAACTCATGGAACTAGCGGGAGTTTGTGGACTCTGCCACTGGATATTAATTTGCATAGCTGTATGGCAAATTCGACATAGATAAACGACAATGATGCTTACAAAAAAAATCCTCCCTATTCCAGTCAAACTTATTAATCAGGACCTCGAGCCTACTATTTCCAGAATTGCGTTGAAAGCCAATGATGAAGCGATCGCAACAAATTCTGGATGATAATAGATCTAAAGAAGACAAGGTAGAGCTGCATTCGCGTTCGATCGAGGAGAGGCGATTCTGGCATGAAAATGAAGATACTGAGCAGGCACAGCTGGCTCAAGAAGCTCCGCAACGGGAACGAAGTGTGACTCTAAAAGCCCGCGTTAAGCAATGCACAGAGATTAGACTCGTATGGCATGCCAAGAGGCAAACACGGGCTTCTCTATTTACCAGTTACTTAAGTCCGGTGTTACATTTGCAATTTGATGCCCAGCTTGAAGATATAATTATTTTACTATATACACTTAGAGACCCCTATATAATATATAGCGTAAGCCTAGCCGCCTTCTTGTCCAGCGGGTATCTTTGTTACGGAATTTTATAGCATCTGTACCGTAATAATCTTCGTCCTCATCGTGGTATATACCAATTTTCTTTGTAAAACGCATGGTAAACTAGCCGCCAAAAATGGCGTGCCCATATGCTTCCAACGGGTGAGGAGACATACTAGGTGAGACAGCCGATGTGTTCGACAATAAAAATGGTCCCAGTGACACTCAGTGTCTTGAAACGGCACCAATGTCATCACCGCAAGTGCGCTAGATATTTTTTCTGTAACATGCGATCCATTTCCAGCCATTGACGTCCTGCACATACTTCCTGACCTATGCAACAGTTGTGAGTACTGTGTCCGCTTCCTACGATAGGGGGGTATTGTGGTAACCTACCGTAAAAATCACGACGATATTCTGCCTGTTATCAATGGACTGGCCTGACTCAGCGAGTCAGTTTAGCCCGTCTGCAAGCAATAGGGTCACAGCAACTTTCTAATAATCAATTATGGTGTGATAATGGGGGACATTCTTTTGGTACGCAACGAGACGGAGCCAATACATGTATAGCACACCACGCTATCAAATATAAGAAGCTTGACCATGAGGTCCACAGGGACCCTCGTCACTGTTACACAGGCCTATCGCTTAATCACATACCAGAACAAACACTCGAAGTCGCTTCGAGAGCTCTCACCGATCCCGCAGGTTAGCCCTCTTCAGAAGTGTTGCCTGTGTCTCGAACAACAGAGCCTTAGTAATTCCGTGCCCTCCTTGACGATTGTATTTCTGGTACTACACTCTGGTGAAAATGACGATGCGTTTATTACTCGATTCGCACACTGAGTAAAGAAGGCACGTCGCTTAACCAATTCTACAGGCTTTCAGTGACGCAGACATTCGACTGGAGGGTCTTTTATGGTTGATCTTGCAAAGTACAAGGTATGACTTTGACGTTGGGTGGATACCAACCACTATAATCCGTTGCTGTAAATAAATTTTACTTTCTGGGACTGATGACACAGCTCTGAATTCGGAATACGAACGATGATCATTTGCTTGTGGGCTTTGCATTTCACCGCGCGTCCTTCTCTCTTACACTGAGGTGCAGAGAGAAATCAGCTCCATGGTAGTCTTGTCAAAGTAAGGCCTCAAACTTTAATGATGTCTGGTATAGAGTATTCCTAATTTTCACTGAAACCTGGTTACACTTCTGATGAATCACTGGTCTTCTTTAGGATCATTTTAGATTGAGCCACGCTTGCTCATCAGCGGCACCGGTGGACAAGGATCATACCTATCCTAATCATCGCTTGCGCTCGATAAATGACATGGCGATCATCGCCAAGGTCCCGTTGTACGGCCAATACTGGCATATCAAGTTCAAGATAGTGTACTTTTCCGAGCTGTACAATTGACCGCTTACGACAAACAGATTGCTCCTCCAAAAAAATGAATCAGCTACACGGGTGGCTAAGATGTTGCTTCGTCTTTACCAGAGCGATTTCACATCTGAGTGGTGTAATCACCAATGACCTCGACGGGGAACAGAGGCGGCAGCTTGAAGCTGCTCATAAGGCGGCTTCAAGCTCACCCATCCACGGTCGGTCATTGACCCACGTGTGGAATATGGCTTCCGCCCAGCGGATCCCGCTGTGGAAGCGAAGGACGCGGTAA